GCATACCTTATATTCATGTAGCCTCCTGCATCCCAAACCTATCCGTCTCTGCTGACTCTTTATTTATCTTCCTTCCTTAACTGTTCGACTTACTCTCAATTTGCCGACTTAACCAGTCTCGTCTGATCGGTCCCCTGCTCTCCGAATTCATTCAGACTGCTGTGACGTTACCGGCATTGGATGAGAAGTGCGAACGCTCTGTCCCCATTACCTCTCGAGCCCCATGGACTTTTCACACCTTATAAGTAAACCTCTCTCTATCCGGACCGTCTCCTCTCCTTATGGCGTTCTCTACTATCATTTCTTCTGTAATCGTGCTGCCAACTCTGTGCCCTGTAATAACCTAGTCTCATCTGACCGGTATGCTCCTTTGACCTTTTCCAGACTAGCAAGATATACCGATCTAATCTCTCTAGACTCACAACTATGTCTTGCTTACATTGACAGCCCGCTAGACTTGTTTACCCTTTATTAATATAGACACTTCCATCAGTATCCTGTACACTCCATCTTTCTCCAATCGGACGACCATCTCTCAGTGCCCTGCAATAACCTAGTCTCATCTGACCGGTCTGCTTCTTTGACCTTTTCCAGACCAGCAACATTTAAACGGTCTAGATTCTGTAGACTCAAGCTATGTCGCACTTACGTTGACAGCCTGCTAGACTTGTTCACCCTCTATTCATATAAGCACCTCCACCCCTAACCTGTCCACCTCTCGACCCACTCCATTTGCCCTCCAAAATCAATCTCATCTCGCCGACTAATCCCGTCTCAACTGATCGGTATCCTGCTCTCCGACTGCTGTGAAGTTACTGGCTATCGTTCAGATGACTGAGCGCCGTCTGTATTCAATCCTTCTACAATCGGACGGCCACCTCTTTGTGCCATACCCTAATTGAGCCTCATCTGATCGGTCAAACTCTCTGGTAATCCTACCAGGCTACCGGGATGTTAGCGGTCTAGGCTCCGTCGATCCAAAGCAGTGTCTCCCTCACTTTGATAGCTTGCTGGACCTGTTCGCCCTATGTTAATATAACCACTACTATCTCTGACCAGTCCAATCCTACTGACTCCACCTATCTTTCCAAATGAACCATAGGACTCAATCGCAATACGGCGACCAAATCCAATCTCGGCTGATCGGTCTCCATCTCTCCGACTTTTGTGACCCTGTCGGCTATTGCTCGGAAGACTGAACGCTATGTCACCATTACCTCGAGAGCCACGTTAACTGTCGCATTTCTTATCCGTAAACGTAAACTCTCGACTCTGTCCTCTACTTATCGCGCTCTGCCTTTATTTCTTCTTCAACCGGAGAGCGTGCTCTCAGTGCCCTGCTCTATTATCCTCTTCGACTACCGAAATTCAGTTCTAGGCTCTGCTTCACCAACACACCTTTCTCTCACACTGCGAGCCTGCCTGAGTTGCATGCCTTATATACATATAACCTCTTCCATCCCTAACCTGTCCATCTCTGCCGACTCTTTATCTATCTTCCAACCACAACTGTACAACTTACTCTAAGTGTGCCGACTAATCCAGTCTCGTCCGATCGGTCCCCTGCTCTCCGAGTTCTCTCAGACTGTTGTGACGTTACCGGCATTTATTCGGAAGACCGAACGCTCTGTCCCCATTACCTCTCGAGCCCCATGGACTTTTCCACACCTTATAAGTAAACCTCTCCCTATCCGGACCGTCTCCTCTCCTTATGACGTTCTCTACTTTCATTCCTTCTCTAATCGGACTGCCAACTCTCAGTGCCCTGTAATAACCTAGTCTCATCTGACCGGTCTGCTTCTTTGACCCTTTCCAGACCAGCAACATTTAAACGGTCTAGACTCTGTAGACTCAAGCTATGTCGCACTTACGTTGACAGCCTGCTAGACTTGTTCACCCTCTATTTATATAGTCACCTCCACCTCTCGACCCACTCCATTTGCCCTCCTAAAATTAGCTGTTGGACTCAATGTCGTTTCGCCGACTAATCCTGTCTCGTCTGTTTGGTCTCCTGCTTTCCAACTTCTCTCAGACTCCTGTGACATTACTAGCCATCGTTCAGATGACTGAGCGCCGTTCGTATCCAATCATTCTTCAATCGGACGATTGAGTCTCTGTCATCCGTAACTCAGCCTCAGCTGATCAGCCAAATTCTATGGGACTGCTACCAGGCTACCGGGATGTTAGCGGTCTAGGCTCCGTCGATCCAAAGCACTTCCTCCCTCACCTTGATATCCTGCTGAACTTGTTCGCCCTATGTTGATATAACCACTTCTATCTCTGACCAGTCCAATCCTACTGACTCCACTTACCTTCCCAAATGAACCATAGGACTCAATCACAATGCGCCGACCAAGTCCAACCTCGGCAGCTCGGTCTTCTCTCCTACTTCTGCGACGCTGCCTGCTATGCTCGGAAGACTGAATGCTCTGTCACCATTACCTCTAGAGCCTCGTTAACTGTCGCATTTCATATCCGTAAACGTAAACTCTCGACTCTGTCCTCTCCTTATCGCGGCCTGTCTTTATTTCTTCTTCATCCGCATAGCGAGCTCTCAGAGCCCTGCCCTATTATCCTCTTTGACTGCCTCCTAACTAGCGAAATGTAGTTTTAGGCTCCGTTTCACCAGCACACAACTTCTCTCACATTGCGAGCCTGCCTGACTTGCATACCTTATATTCACGTAGCCTTTTGCATCCCAAACCCATCCGTCCCTGCTGAATCTTTATTTACGTTCCCACCTCAACTGTACTACTTACTCTAAGTGTGCCGACTAATCCAGTCTCGTCTGATTGGTCCACTGCTCTCCGAATTCATTCAGACTGCTGTGACGTTACCGGCATTAAATGAGAAGTGCGAACGCTCTGTCCCCATTACCTCTCGAGCCCCATGGACTTTTCCACACCTTATAAGTAAACCTCTCCCTATCCGGACCGTCTCCTCTCCTTATGACGTTCTCTACTTTCATTCCTTCTCTAATCGGACTGCCAACTCTCAGTGCCCTGTAATAACCTAGTCTCATCTGACCGGTCTGCTTCTTTGACCCTTTCCAGACCAGCAACATTTAAACGGTCTAGACTCTGTAGACTCAAGCTATGTCGCACCTACGTTGACAGCCTGCTAGACTTGTTCACCCTCTATTTAAATAATCACCTCCACCTCTCGATCCACTCCATTTGCCAACCTAAAATTAGCTGTTGGACTCAATGTCGTTTCGCCGACTAATCCTGTCTCGTCTGTTTGGTCTCCTGCTTTCCAACTTCTCTCAGACTCCTGTGACATTACTAGCCATCGTTCAGATGACTGAGCGCCGTTCGTATCCAATCATTCTTCAATCGGACGATTGAGTCTCTGTCATCCGTAACTCAGCCTCAGCTGATCAGCCAAATTCTATGGGACTGCTACCAGGCTACCGGGATTTTAGCGGTCTAGGCTCCGTCGATCCAAAGCACTTCCTCCCTCACCTTGCTATCTTACTGAATTCGTTCGCCCTATGTTGATATAACCACTTCTATCTCTGACCAGTCCAATCCTACTGACTCCACTTACCTTCCCAAATGAACCATAGGACTTAATCACAATGCGCCGACCAAGTCCAACCTTGGCAACTTGGCCTTCTCTCCTACTTCTGCGACGCTGCCTGCTATGCTCGGGAGACTGAACGCTCCGTCACCATTACCTCTCGAGCCGCGTGGACCTTTCCGCACCTTATAAGTAAACCTCTCTCTATCCGGACCGTCTCCTCTCCTTATGCCGCCCTCTACTTTCATTTTTTCTCTAATCGGACTGCCAACTCTTAGTGCCTTGTAATAACCTAGTCTCATCTGACCGGTATGCTCCTTTGACCTTTTCCAGACTAGCAAGATATACCGATCTAATCTCTCTAGACTCACGACTATGTCTTACTTACATTGACAGCGTGCTAGACTTGTTTACCCATTATTAATATAGGCACTTCCATCAGTAACCTGTACCCACAAATCTTCAATCGGGTGACCGACGCTTAGTGCTATGCCCTTCTTTGTGATCATCTGATCAGCGAAATTCTCTGGAACTACTACGAGGCCTCCGGATGTGTCGACTTCTCGAGTCTCATCTGTTCGGTCTCCGGCTCTCAGAGTTCTCTCAGATTACCGGGATATTACCTGTGCTATTTCAGAACTGAACGTTTCATACTTCGCAAGGGAGCGGCCTTGGCTTCATCACACCTTAGTAATAAACCTTTTCATCCTGGCTATCATCTCTTAATTGCTCTCATGAGTTACTCTTCGCACTGCCGTCCGCATTCATTCGCTCATAGCTGATTCTTTAAATTTCCTTTTCTTCTTGGAACGTTGCTTTACCTATGTTGCTCCCGCATTCTGTCTCAACCTAGTTGTCCTTAGTTTCACCTAAGATGCCGCTCGCATTCGGTCTGCTGTCATCATCATCGGTTTACCTGTTACTCTCCAACAATCATATTAATCGCTTAACTTTGTCAACACGCTTTGTTATATCCTTCTGTCTACCTAGTAGTTGTAGTCTGAAGCACACCAGCGACGTGATGTGAAGAACGCGCTTAAAAATCATGTATACTAAACAAAATTACATAAATTTTCTTGTATCATAGCACCGTTGCGCGCCACTAGTCTGTGTTTGTGCTTCTTGCTTCGTTGCTGTCTTTCAGTTTGGCTGCCTCTTGTCCGTTGCCCGTTTTCTCCCGAGATTTCCACAGATACATCCGCCAAAACAAGAAGGTTTATCCACTGGGAATAGTCGACCCACTTTCAATGGTCAGCTGGTTTACATGCTTGTTCTTTTCTCCGGGAGATGAAGAACCCACACATCGTTCCAAATGGAGCTATTTTTGCCATTCTGGAGAAGCTGCCACCACGGGGTCTAAACAAATGGGTTTAGCTCGCCTCGTACTCACAGTAGAACAATTTACTCACCTGGACTAATGTAGTTACATGGATCCAATGTTCCACAACCGGAGACTGACAATTCTGGCGTGATTATCTTCACTGCCTCAAACATTCCGATTCTCCAGTCACCTGGAGCTTTTCTGATGTCATTTCACGGACAGCACTGTGCGCGCATAAGCGGCTTTTTCGATGATTTTTCCTGGAGTTCTCACTTGGTCATGGAGAGAATTACACTTACATTTGAAGGAAATACTTGTCCACTTTGCAGAGAATAGCATTTATTCCTGTTTTGGACATATTCAGACACAAGAAACAACTGCACTCACCGTCCCTATGACAAGTCCAGCATGGATAGCTGGACACGGGTTGCGAGCCGGACTATATAATAGGACAAGCCGGCCTCTATTAACAATATGTTTACTCACCCGGATCATTATCATTCGACTCTGTGACTCTTTTACATCATTGACTGGTTTTAACGACTATTGCCGGTTCAGTACTAAGCCATTTGGCCAACCAACGAAAAATTTTGGCTGTCAACCGACTGCAAATAATAGAGTGCAAAATCGGTCTATACGATGCATAGCCGACTAGCACTACAGTACAACGGTAGCTACGACAGTGTTCCAGGACGTGGTGGGTTTTCGCCTGGCAAGCGTTCTCGCTATAAAAAGCCACAAATGTCCGCTTAACAACACTGCAACGTGGCGGATGTGACTCGCCACAAAATAAAGTCACAGCTATACATTTCACACTGACGCAGTCCTCAGCCTCCAAAGTCGAACCTGTGCAAATGATTTTACCATGAAGAATGCTTTAGTGGAGTACCGATCATCCCGGCTTCGTAATGGTCATTGATTGCACTAAACCTTGTTCGGGCTCCCGTGCTCATGGCTCACTACATGGCAAATTTACCCCCACTTGTACCTTGACGCAACAGTTTTGCGCGCCACGGCGCCATTATGGTCCTTGATCTGACCATTACCTGACAATATGCTCCCTCTTATGGACTACATCTTTTCGTTTATTCCTTTCATTGTAACGAAATGTTTTAATATTCCAAAGAAGCTATGCTTGTATGCATATTTGATCATGCCTTTTAGAGGTGTGTCTCGTTTTACAGAGAATATACTATGTATTTATTTATTTATTTACCTCGTACTCCCTCCCTATCGTCCCCTTTAAACGCAACCACTTTATCATGCTTAACCAACCAGTGTTTACTCGCTTCTGTACTTTGATTGTTAGTGAGACGAGACCGCTGCTCTTTAAATCGTTCCACATTCTACATCCCTCCAATCTGTTCAAATTGGATGGAACTAATCCTACCCAAAGCGGCTCGTCTACTACGCCTATGTTCACATTTTAATTTAGCTTCTATGCTCTCACATCTCTATGCCAAAGGCAATTCTGACTGCAAAACTCATTTGTCTCCAGTTAGCTGACGTCATACAATCCCACCAAGTTAAGGCTAATCATACTTGCTTATTGCATACCTCCAGGTTGCTAAGCTGTGAATGCCCTTGAGGCACCCAGTCCACCAATATTTTGTTTAGATTCTTCCCGACCTCCTCTGCCCTCATCTCTGTTACCTCAACGGCCTATCGACCTGAAGTTGCTGCGCCTGCTGCTCCTGACATCTCGCCGTATCTAATACCAAGCCCCACTTTCCTTAGGTTGTGCACTTGTTTAGACTGCTACGCTTTGATCGCTCCTGAAGCGCCTTCTCCAACGCTCGATTGCGCTAAGCTTTACCTATTTGCTTTTCTAAACTTCCATCTCACAACCCACCTATCTGCTGAGTCACCACAGAAAATGTTCGTTCACTACCGTTTCGCTATTTTCTATCTACTAGTTCCGCATTGCCCTGCCCTGCTCAAAGTCTTTATCAAAAAAAAACTACCTGTGTCTAACCGTCTCTGTCTTCGTATATTTCAATCTACTTAAGACTGCGCATACATAAGGGAGCACGCCATTGTTACCCCTATCAAGGTATATATGTTGCATGATCACCAAACTCTGCTTTCAGCGACAGGTCTGATTCTTATCAACCGTTCCCCTTTTTAATCGCAACCACAAAACCTCACGAAATTTTATATCAGTATAAAACTAACGGCGGTCAATTCTTAGCCATTTTACTCCCAGTTATATATAACGTTCTTCTATCCTTATGTCACCTCGTCTTAAATTCTTGCATCCAGAATTCTGAACCATAAGCACCTTAGGCATACCTTGTCCGCCAATCTCTAATGTCCGGCATATGAAGCATGTCCCCATTAGGACAACAAAACTCATCCCTTAGTTTACATAAACATTGTGTGCCCCTTCCCCTTTGCTTGCCTTATTTAGAACATCTCTTTCACTCTCCACCGACCTAAGGATTGCTTGCTTTGCTTTGTATTCATGGAGTAAAACTAAACGAGATTGTTGATTCCAAATGTCACAAGTCATGTAGGGTTCAATAATTCAAGCACTGTGGCAACTGTGCTTGTTGTTAAATGTGTTATTTCGGAATTTTTGTCTTTTGGTGTAACTGCGTTGTTTCGTTGACTTTTTCTCCGAGCGTTTCACAGATTAAATGGCAAGCGTTTGTTGAGCCTTCCCTTGGTGCGGCTGCAATACTCCTCAACAAGGAGCAGTTGCTTTACCTGGATATGGGAGATGATTATTCCGCTGTCGTTACAACTTACCAGCGGGAACAATTATTTAGTAACTTCTTAACTTTGGATTATCGACAAACGTAGGCAAGTTTTCTGAGCATGACCGGAGTGATGCATTTGTTTACCTAGCTGTAAAACGAGCCGCTTCAAACACAGGCGTATTACAGATGTAGTTTGTTATGTGATCCCATATCGCTCAAGGCATGAATAAAGCTGTGCCTCGAACGTAGCGAAGCACGCCATGACAGGCGTAATCAGAACTGCACAGGCAAATTTGTTTCTAGAGCAGTAGGTGGAAACCTAAGAGTCACAGATCATTGGAGTGGAATAAGCATTGATGAGGGACTGGTCCGATAATGTTTGTGTTCACAGTGTGGATCAGTTGAGGGAAGCATGAAAACGTTTTCAGAATAGGGACGTGTCATTGCTTACACATTTATGTTCGGATAAATTGGAGAGGAAATGCACACATGAAATTTGGTACCAGACAACTTGCCAATAATTGGTAGGATGAAGTAAGTTTGCTTAGTGACGTGTCATTACCGCCATGTCGCAGTGTTATTAAACGGACATTTATGGCCTTTTCTAGGGAGAACGCTTGTCGGGCGGAAACTCACTAAGTCCTGTAACAATACCGTTATGTTGGAAAGACCCTATTCTTCAGAGTGCTGAACGATTAGGTGCAGCACGCCTAACAATAAGCTTTTTACATATTTTCAAACCGGGTTCCGCTTGCTGTCATTTTATGTAAATAAAATCTATATGGATGTTTCACGTAAATGTAAAAGCCAGATTTCCCAGCCGATTGTATGCCGTTTTGAGTGGAACAAATCCCGATTCATTGCTTATTTCACTCACTAGAAAAATGTGTTTGGTTCTTTTCCCTACTGGATACATACTGTATATTTATCACACTTACGGCAATGTTCCTTATTATGCATGCTGCTTCCCTTGCGCGTGCGTCCAAGTATTAACAACATATTCGTTTTCACTTCTGACGACTTCCGGTTATTTGACCTGCTCAATTTCCCATACTTCCTTACCTAACCAATTGGGTTTGGCATTTGGCAGCTTTTCCTAAATAGTTCAACACTAAGTCTTAGTAGATATTCCTAAAAGCATTACGCGGCTCTGCAAATGAACAACACATTACTTTTCAGAAATGTTCATTTCATGACCTACCTACCAAAATGTCTGAAAAAATCAGTCAGAAAAGTACACGATCCAGGATAAACCAGGCCGTCGTCTAACTTGCGTCAGTCAGCGGATATCCTCGGCATAACTTAAGTGTGAATACCTGAGAAAAGTATCATGAAGCTCATAGATACATATTTGTAGGGAGCAGAACGGAAAACCCACGTCAGCTCCTTCACCTTCCGTTCACTAGCTGGATGATATGTTTAGTCGCTAAGTCATGTTTCTGCAGCATATGTAGTGTAATACGGGAGTGCGCTGCATGTGTCCGTCCAACCATTCTTTGAATCAGTCCTCTGTCTGGGCGCTTAACAAGCACTCAAGTAGTTTTATCCACTTACTTACAACCTGTGGGAAAGACGCGATCTCAGCCGGGCCTAATGCCTCCGAGTCTTACATAGATTTTATCTTGGCCCTGTTTCATTCAAGCTGCGTTAAGCTGGTTAACGACTGCACCTGCTTGCCCAGATTGCTTTTTAACCTGCATTTATTACAAAGCAAATCCCTCCGGCCACAACGGTCGTCTATTGAAAATAGGTTCGTGCGCTATTGACGAGGTGAATAGGATAAAACACTTATCACTGACACAGACTTGGATCCGCGCTTCTGCACCTACTCGGTCAAAGCGATTTCAGCGTTCATGCTTGGCTTTTGACAGGCAGTCCGGATTCCTGCACTGAAGAACATGGGACGAAAAGAGAAGCTTGAAGGTCTTCTTTGTCATTTCGTTTAATAGCTTTCTTGTGGATTAGCGCGTCCTGTTGTCACAGGTTAATTCCTCTAACGATTTATGGGTTGTTCTTGTTTCAAGAGATAAAAGTACGCGCAAATCCTTCACAAGTGCCGCAGTAAAAAGCAGGAAAGCACGAACGTGGTAGGCTACAAAGCTTTTCAATCAATGTTTGGAATAATGCAGCACATATTACAAGCGATAAGTATTTGCAACTTGAGAGACCAATCGTGCATCGGATCAAGCGTCATTTGCAAACTTGGCAGTTCCTTCAAGCAATTATACTTCAGCCCATGGTTTGGCTGATCAACCTAGACCAAAAATAACTATTTTAACACAACCAGCAAGCAGTTGTTGTAGGGTTAGAAGGGTACGTGACAAAGAAAATGGCTTTCTGGAACATTACTGGCCAGGCGAACAGGGCCAGGGACGCTCTCCATTCATTTCTATTTCATACAACGGTCATCTAGGTAATCTGCTGTCCAGGCGAGATAATTACTAGCGACAGCAATCTACTGAAGATTACTTGGGAGTCTTTTTAGGGAACTATAACAACCACTGCCAAAAGCAACAATATAACATATGGGAGATGCCAGGTACCTAGTGATTTCGTCCAGTTTTCTAGAGCAACAATCAAGTTGGTAATGCAGAACTGTGACTTCAAGATTTGCGCCGCGCAGGTGCGATGACGTCAAAGTTATCAAGGTGAGGATGCAATACATGTTATATTTTCTTTTCAAGGTTTTACAAATAATTGACAATAAGCAATTTGGTCAATATTTCATGGGAACATAAAGATTCCCACTTATATTCATTGGCTTCAATACACGTATTTTTCACGTACTTGAAAGAACGCGTGCTTCAAGTGAGCTCCATATAAATAGTTAATAACTAGTAGCAATAAGGTATTCTGCCACTTCCATGATGATAGAGAGATAAAAACAATCATGGCCCGTCGAATAATTCGGATTGAAATTAAGTAGTAGTTTAGGTACCATGTCAGCGTTAATTTCGACGTGATCTGGAGGCAGTGCATTACTAGTTACACCTTGAAATTCAAATGTCATTTTTCTCGTGTCTGGTAGGTTTGCGCCTAGCAAGTGTTTACCTTGTACAAAGCCACCGATGTCCGTTTAACAGCACTGCGATGTTGTGGATGTAACACGCCACCAAATAAAGCCACTGCACAGGATTTCATACTGGCAAGTCGACAGGAGCTACGTTTTACCAGTATTTTTATACACAAAATAATGGCACTTCTGCACCTGCACATTTCATCTTCAACCCACGTGCGTTGCGTTCGCGATTTATTGTTACGTTACACTCACATTAACCTGGTGTATTAATATTGTACGCTACTAGCGCTTTCCTAGTCAGGCAACCGTAATGCTTGATCTAACCGTGACTCCTGCATTACTGCAGTGTGCTGCATACAAATGATATCTATACAAACGTGTCATTATCTCACAATCACTATGCTTATGCATTTTAACCTTTGTACAAATTGTAAAGCATCAACAATGATCGCCTGAACAACTTACAGTTTTCGCCGTTGCCATGCCCATTAAGCGTATTCAATTTTGTCCTATGTAAGCAACCCTCCGGTGGGCGTGCCCAGCCTGTTTGAGGATAAATGTATAATGGTTATTTCGTTTAACGCCACAGCAGTTTTCATGCCAACTCGATTTTTGTCGGGCTGGAGGCAACTCATGTTTTTGAAAGCCAGCATTTTTCTGTGCAACTTCATAACGTACGCGATAGTGAAGCACGGAAATGTGCAATGTCGCAGGTGGATACTATTCCATGATTGCTGCTTAAGTAACCCACGGCACGCGTTCATAAAGCGCTGACTCGCAATAGTGAGATACTCGTTTTGGCTCAGACAGCATTCGGCTTTCGCCTAGTAATGATTCCGAATTAGAGCAAATGGCTTTTCAACACCTTCTTGAATGTATGGCGGCTATCTACCTTGGAATAGCGGTGACAAAACTTCACTGAAAGTAAATAAATTTTCAACCGACTCAGTGTTAAGCAGTCAGCGCCCCATTTACATGCGTGCCACATCTATTGGTGGCAGATTGACACTGAAGCCGTTCTTGGGGTATTGCGTGTCCTCTGCAAGTATATGCGAAACATGATATTGGGGGTTGGACCGCACTGGGTAGCCTTTAGGCATAATTAATGTGGTATCGATGTCGTCACTCGTTGTGCAGTGGCATTAGCAGCCGGCTTATAAGAGCTTGGCCGTTGTTTCGAATCCTTCATTTTTTGGTGCATTGGAACTACCCCGCCGAGTAGGACGAAAAGGCCCCCTATCGTATTGCCTGCTCTACAGTATCTGCCTTGCTCAGCCGGGCTGTGAAGAAACTTCGCCATAAACAAGTACGTTGCAATGATTCGGTATACCTGTACCTCGGGTTGGTAGTTAACGTTTTGTTTCATTCTCTTAGCTGAGGATTTTAATGACAAGTACGTTACCACTAAAAGTACGAGTACTAAATTATCAATTTAGTTGCTAACATGTCAACACGATCGGATGCGACTAACAAAAATTTCGTTACTGCGGCTGACAGTCCACTCCGACAGCCCATCTAGAAAAATTTATTTGTTATTTGAAGGCTAGACCCGGTGAGATGATAGTGTGCTGTTGTTCACCATAGAAGACGATAACCAAAAGTACACTGTCCAAAGTAATCATTTGATATCTTGCTTTGGCTTTCAGTATTCCTGAGGAGGTATTTCAAAAGGAGGTATATCAAAAGTGTACTTCACAACTTGATGTTATAGCGATTTTATAGGTGAAATATTCGGTAAAATATTGAAGTTTATATTGATGTGTTTAGCACCCGGTAGTGAGTAAACACACCTGGATGCGAAATGCTTGTTAGCTAATCCTATCGTGTCCGCGGTAGTCATTTGTTTGGGTGGGTCAGTGATGTTTCCCTATATCGTCAGTAGGCCGACAATTATTTCGTACTTCGTAATGGTGGCAAACTGGTACAACGGTTTAAGAACGCACAAAATTTTGTACATAGTACTTCTTTGTTTATTTGCTTATGTGTGCGGATATGTGACAATGTTATCCATGGCAACCATCGCTTCTTGTGGAATATTTAGAAAGCAGCAGTGTAAAATATTTTCGAGTAAAAGAGGATCAGTAATTGCTTGTGCCTTTTCACGGGTTTCCATTGGAACATGCATGCTTAGCGATTAGTATGGCCTGCTAACGACAGGGTACAGGTGAAGTATAGGACGCGAAAACGAGAAAGCGTTTCAACTTCAGACATTGATTTCCAAATAGACTTAACAACTTTGCGTTCAGTGTGGTCTGGTAAAAAAGCATACTAGCATGGTTGGAAAAATAGAGCAAGCAGGCCTTAACGTTTTTATTTAGCCAGTTTTTTAATAGGCCCTGTCCACACAGATGGAAGGCTAGCCATCGTAAATGATGTCCTTTCGGTTACAATCAGAGGTAAAACGAAAGCTACAAAAAGAGTAATATCTGTCTAGGTATGCACTTAAATAAAATTTCACACTCTTTGCATGTCTATCCTTTGCCTAAGATGCGTTACCATTGTAAAAAGTCGTAATTCTGGTGAACACGAGTGACCATTGGGCGTCATGGGTTAGGAATATTTGCGCCCTAGCGACATCAACTTGACACTTAATGGACGACATTTGTCACACAAAATAATTATAGGTTTAGCTTAACGGCTATAATAAAGCCTACCAACTATTTAGGAAAAGCTTTCGGCTAAATGCTGAAGGCATTGCAAGCAATGTGGGTATATTTGCAGTATTTTATTAGGTTATGTTTGAAATCCATTCTTAGTGACTGGAAGTCGTCCCGTTTCAGACGAATTCAGGTCACTCGAAAACGTTTTCACTTTGTCCTAACGACTATAATATGGCCTAATCATAATTTTGAGCTTATTTCCGAATTAACCATAACGGTGTTTGCAGCTAGGCAGACTGCCTTAAAGATGCATGGTAAGAGTGCTTTGAGAAAGTCATTCAGAGTAACCAAACGTAATCCAAACACTTTCCATTCGCGACGGCAAGGGGCACAAATTACTTCACATAACGAGCTACATAATTTACACGGCCAGATTTATTTTGGTCACTTATATGAACTGTAGTCTTGTGGTTTGCATGGCTGAGTAAGGCAAGAACGTAATGAAAATTTAAATGTTTGTTATGGAAATGAGGTAGGTTCCACTACGTAGCTTAGGGAGGAAAGTTGAGGCTTATGAGTTCGACCATGCTGTGTAACGGACATGACAAAATCCGCCTTTTGTTTCCTTCAAATTAACCGTTGTTTCCGCCACAGCACACTGGTGGTGTCGCAAATCTATTGGAACTAAACGAACTTTACTTATTCCTACACGGAAGATGCACACAATCTAATAAACTGCGTGAGAATTTGCAAATTGCTTATCATTTATTGAGTAAATCGTTTACACACATATAGTTGCACAGCTTTTGTACTTCAGGTATGCGTTGTGTCACAAAAATGTTCGTATTCCTATTATTGCATCTTTGTAGATTAGCCATGCGTTTACACGCACTGATGATTTAACTCGTTAAACAGCGCTGTTTAACCTTTTGCTACGCTGCCTCAGCAGATATAACATCACCAATTTGCAGCACTAGGAGTGTGTTAGCATCTGCGCAGAAACCAGGATCTGTCTTGTAAAAGCATACTGAACTCGACCTAGTGCAGTTATGTCACTCTGCTTTGCATTGCCGATTAGCGAACAGCGGTAATCCTACACCATTCATGTACGAGCCTTGTACAGCCGAAATTTAGCTATCTAAAACTTGAGGAGCTTGAGCAACAGTGCATTATATTTCCTGGCTTTGACAACGGTGTTTATATCTGGCGGAATTATGAATGATGGTGTTTTGAGGACGTAAGTATATTTATTTACCGCCTCGTGCAAGGGTTTTATCGAAGCATATTAGTGCTGGACCATTTAGCTCCTAATTGTGTAGGGTGATATTAGCTGTTCCGTTGGAGAAACACACTTTAAATTTCTACCATATCCTAAAGTTTATTTAAGACCCTTGCTGTATCTCAAAACATGGACCCCAGGATTCTGCGAGAAAATGTTTACAAACCTTTTTAACGTCCGCAAATATGCCGTGTCTACCGTAGGTCATAACAAAAAATGTGTCATATATTTAAATCAGGAAACATAGTAGTTCCAGAAAGCTAACTTAAATGACGCCACATGCCTCAAGGATGCCATAGGATGTGTGATTATGTTATTATGACTACTAGAATTCTTTCGGTAAGGTTTGAAGTGAATCAATATAAAAGTAGGGGATCGAAAATGGCATACATTGCCTGTATTAGTCAAAAGCCAAATATAGGTACATGGTCATGAGTATTTTGCAAGACATGGAATCTGAAAATATAAGTTTACTGCAGTCAACTGTGGTTCTTATGTGATAGATTTAACCAGCATCGTTTGGTTGAGTAGACTCCTGATTATAAGACACTGGACGGTTAAGCTCTATATTACTATCTGTAAACTTAAGGTGATACAAGGACCTATTAATTGGAGATGTACGTGACTTGTTCTAACGGATTTTATAGCCTTCACTGGGAGGAATTGAGACGTTCTCTTTGAAAAGTGGCCGTTAATACCCCAGGATAAAACAATTTTGTTTAACTCTAACGAACGCTAAATAAAATCTCTATTTAATGCCACGTTTGATCACTTACCGAAGATTAGAGACGTACGGAAAAGCCAGTAGTAACTCACATGCCATAAACCACAAACCATGTTATAACTAAAAAACGCGCCAATTAATATCTGTTCGTTTCGCTTCCAAAAATCCTTACTTTAAGTCCAAAGACATTCAGACAGACAATGAATGTTTTGTTCTGAAATATAAGTTCAAGAAACGTATTTTTTCTAGAAGCCAAGCGCAGTACTCGGATGAGGAAAGCTGTAAGGATCATTGTATCGTTTGCTTGTGCTACAGATCACGTTTTTCTAGACGTGCCCTGTCTCACCTAGTATTGCTTTATTTATATATTTTCTAGGGCAGATGCAACAAGTAGGCATGTATTGAAGAGCGCCATACAGCTTGGTGATCTGCAAGTAGTAATGCAAGACGATATCGGAGGTTTGGAAAATCCTTTATGGTATCAAAAGCAGAGAAGAGGCTTGTTGGTCTCTTACGGATGACGTTCGCACTAATCAATCCTCGCGCATATGTATGCGAATGCTCAACACAAATGTAAGACCGCATGTAGGCAAGAGATACAGGCCTGGTAAATTTGGCATTGCAGTGTCATAGCAACAAGCAACCCAAGGATACAGTGGCTTGTTCCAGCTGCCACATCAGCTCCAACTGAAAGTCCTATGCGTGTGCATTGGAAGTTATTGCCGTCCACAGCTTGGCAGTATTTTGCTGTAGCAGCTTTTAATATGCCGTTGTTATGTCGGCAACCACCTCCTGTACTGATGCCATAACACGAACGTGAGAAACAGCGGAGTGAAGCTTGCCACCTAACGATGTCGGATTTCGCCGCAGCAATTTTCATTTTCTTAAAATTAGTCAGCGATGGAACGCGCATCTTGTTTTGTCTTAAATCCCCCACGACACGCACTGGCAACAAGGATGTGATGACTTATTACATCATGTACAAAACATGGTATTTACTTCGATCATCAAATGCTTACAAGATACAAACGCTGTGCTTACCTCGATTTATGAAATATGTGTACATGGTAGAAATGTGTTTTGGTTTGCGTAAATTGTGGAGCAAACAAAGAAAATTTTCACCTTTCCGTCACATTTGCAAAACCGTTACAATTTCCTATGTACTTAGCAAGTCCCAGTTGGTTTACCATTATGGTATTGCAGTTCATTTGTTTAAATGCAGTGGCGCATTAGCTACGGTTATCAAGTATTGTACAGCTGCACCTATCAGTGAGATCACTAAAAGTTAGGAAACTACATAAACATACCTGTGTTTAACAAAAATGGCGGAAAATAATTTGTAATGATTTTGCTATAAATACGACTTGCGAAATGAGATGAATTATGACGCTCGCTTAAAAAGTAATAGTTAAACTAAAACCAAATTTGATAAACATTCGCTGTAAAATAACACAAATATTCCTCTTGCATTTAAAGATAACACAATCCCATCTCGTATGCGCTTAGCTGCAAATAACCAATGATCTGCCAGGAAGACGTTGATTGGAATTGTCAAGGATTGTATCTATCAGATTGTAATAAGGACTCCGATGCACGTCGTCTAAAACTTTCGCTTATTTTGTGTGCCTGTCAAAACCAGACTATCTTAATTTGCATAGCCCAAATCTTAACAATTTAGTTATGCAAATATATTCACGTAGAGTGAAGTTAGTTTAAGCAATTCTTCACTCTTTTGTATTTTTATGAGCCCACACTAAATTGTGCATTGGTCATAAAATGCCGCATATATAGGAATGGGATAAATCTGCGCTATATAATAACCTGTTATCTAGATTTCAGCTACTCGTACAACGCTTGTCTCCTTTCGATGCAAACCGTACTGTCGATTACAGTGGTGATAGTTGCTTTGTTCGGCGAATACTCGACAAATGTATGGAGCACTGCCAGCCGCCGTTTTGGTAAATATGGTATCAAAGCACTCGGAGACATCCGGATAACTCCATCGACCCAGAGAAACATGGAGGCGTTGGCGCCGGTTGAAGATACAAAACCTGGGGTTAAGACTATTGAGCACGTAACCGATAAGGTGAGTACACGGACTCTAAGAGCGTAATGGCAACTCACAATAATTGCTCCTAACATGTGCGATTTATGCTAGAGTTGTAGATAGATCTAAGTGTTTTCGTAGGCCGCCATTTAGCGCAAAGTGTACAAAAGTTCTACATAAAAGTTAGTCTACGCGTGTTGTTGAATGCAAGCAGTCTAATCATGAACCACGCTAATGAACAACTGTAAAACAGCTCAGCACCAAACTTAAGAACTGTCAACTAAACCCAGTCAAAATGCTGTAGTTTATCAAAAGCTGTACACCTGAGTGATCATGATGAAAGTAGATGGTCGGAAATTGCCTTAACTTCACTTGACTACAGCTACAAGACTTACTCCAGGTTGGGCCATGGAGGAATATAATATAGCGTGACACCAATGCTCGTTCGGAAACTTTCTAATTATTACTTTATATTGATAACCATTTATATTTTCATATGTTTAATGAGCTCAACGTTTAACGGACTAAGAATTCCAGGACAAGTTATGTATGCAAGAAAAAAAGCGAAAAACGAAATCGTTGTAAACTGGAGCTATTTGAAGCCAGAAATCGCATTTACAGCTTAACTTAACGAACATAACTGCAAGGTAACCAGCTAGTATGAAATAAGATCCTCCTCGAGAGTATATGTCATGTTACTTACGCCAGCCGTTATAAGTGGGCAAAAGGGAACGCAGATTTACCCTAGCACTCAACAAGTTGTGTTAAAGTGAGCTAGAATTCACTTCATGTTTGGTTTACTTTCCCTTTTGCATTGTTAACATAAGGAAGCCTCCTTAGAATTTGGCGCTTCTGAGCAAAAATTCGTGAACAGCCTAACCATTCCTACTGGGCGTCAGCAGACGTGGTCCAACTGGTCCAAATGTGATCCAATTGACTGTGTCCAGCGTCGACGCCGTGAATGTGTTGAAGGATCTTGGAAGCGATCCGACGTCAATAGATCAGGTGCAAGTGGCTGTCCAAGTAAATATTACGAAGTGACGCGCATATGTAAGAATAAGAAAACTTGTTTAACATATGGTGAGTATTTCGCACTTCTGTGATTAAAAAAATACTTGGCTATTTACAGGTTACTCGTTGTCACATGCCCGTATTATTCACACGGTTCTGATGTTTACCGCGGTCTAAAATGGAGCAGGCGCTTGTGGTATACTGCTACTAATTGCCGCCCGTGTTCTTTTGGTTTACTTCAAAAGTTTGCACGAGATTCTTGAATCCGTACGACAACCAAGAAAATTGTAACTTTGTACACATAATTTGGAAACAGTATTAAACATGTATGCTATGTGGCGAACATTATATTTTCAAGCTATATGATTCTGTTTCGGTCAAATATAATAATGTCATACTATATACCTAGACTAAAAATTATTTCACTACGCTAATGTCTAATACTTTGGTGTCATTTTGAATCAACAAAGATTTTCATAAACAGATGCTGATTCGACGATTGATTGTAGGATAAATATACCGTTTCGTAGTTAACGAATATAGAGTGTGGATTTCCTAACAAGGGTAGTGTTTACTTGGCTGATACAAGTTTACAAGTATTTTAGACGAAACAACTAAATTAATCACATTCCTGATGCACACAATAATTTTGGAGAGAATTCGCTAATTTATAAGTTAATTCGTGTTGTTTACCTACGGTCGAACATAAGTGTTTGAGTGGAATCTATCTATATCACTAGCAGTGGATTTATTCGTAAATGGAATTAGATATTCTATGAAGTATAAGTAATCAATCACAGGAAAAAGGAAATCGTTTTAAATAGGTGTGGATAACTGATGAGGTGCCTTGGAAATACCAGAAGGAATCGAGGAAAATAGTTAAGGCACACATTCCTGTTTTATAGTGATTTGCATCCAAACCACTAATTATTGGTGATGTAAACATATCGCATTGAGATTTATGCGTTCTTTAGTAGACAAGCGATTATCTAGCTAAGAAAATAACTTGTTTTCTAACGCCTGTGTATTAGGAGTGCAACTTCTATTTTACATCATATTAGAATATTATTCCTCTATGTATATTCCCAATACATAGATTTATGCACAAGATCCTAGTAACAACTCTGTTACCTTCTGGTACTTTGGAAAACATTTAGTGGCATTTTAGTGATTGGATTAGCGCAGACTAGTAATCTAAATATAACAAGCAGTTTAGGTTACTATACTAATAAGCGCATGTATTTTTACTGTAACTATTGAATACTAATCTCTCCAACTTATAATACCCAGAGTGTTTATCCTTCGCACCGGTAAACTACAGCATTTAAATGCTTGCTGCTCATGACGTACTGTTCTCCATGGTTGTTCAAATAAACTAAGTTTAGTGTTAATGGACAGACAAAAATAGTATTTTAAGGTTATAGCCGCGTTTAGTGTAAACTAGTTCACACAATAGTGCACGATTGGATTTGCTGCGGTTTAAAATACATCACACGAAAATGTTTTAGTGTAGATTGTAAGGAAACGAACTGCTTTAAGGAACCGAAAGTTATTTTGCAGTTGAGGTTACTAATCTTCCACATCTAATACAAGAAATATGACGTGATTAAACGTTACTGCCAAAAGCCTGATAACCGCGAGCAATACCGTAAATATAGTGAGTTAGTAATGAGATTCAAAGCTTTTGCAAAGGTGTCTTATAGCTCGGGATTAGCAAGGCGAAAGGGTTTAAGTTTTATTAAGCTGAGACCACACCGTAAATAAAATGAATTTTGTCCAACCAACTTGGTGTTTATGTGAGAGTAATGAGCTGTTAAACTATTACAGAATCAACCTCAATGAAATCAATGAACCCAAATACAGGCATTTTGGTAGATGCAAACGATTGAAGATTATTGACTTTTTTGGCCGGTGTGATTTAACAAATGAAACCTACAGTTGAATGTAGGAAGGGGACACTTTATTACACTAGTTACAGTTTTTCGGTTTGGTTTACTAATATAGCAGTCTGGAGATTCCCCCGTTTGTCTGTGTACAATTC